TTCTAAAAGAGCACTCAAATTTCTGTTTGAAGAATAGACTTGGTGAAAGTGAGAAATCAGTTATGAAACTACAGCCATAGTCAGGATGAAGGTGATAATGATATATTTGGAGTGAGAAATACAATCTTATTCCTTTCTGAGCAAAGAAGAGGAATCAAAGACAACTCCAAAGTTTCCATTTTATGTAAAACTAGTGAAGTTATTTCTTAAAATAGGGAAAGAGTGGTAGAAATATACTGTTTAAGGAAAACCAAAACTCCAATTTGGGGCACATGAAACACAAGTTAAGACAGGAAAAACTCAAGTAGGGATAAGGAGTGTTGACAAATAAATACTTAGGAGGCTCACAAAATTAGAAACCAGGTGAATAGAGATGATGTCAGTCTCAAGGTTTCTATTCCTTTTCTTATGGTATGTGAATTTGGTGAATGGCCCCGTTGTGATGGTCATTGTAGAGTGAATAAGCAAAGCTCTGGGTTCATGAGTTTCACCTCCTAATAGCATTCTATTCTCATCACAAGGACCATACTTCTCCTTCTAGACTAGGCAATATTATCATTCCCAGTTTGTCAGTGTGGAAACTGAAGCACAAAACCATCTCAGCCAGAAACTGACAAGTGCTAGAACTGGGCTGTTCAGGAGCACAATTCTAGAGCACATATTCAAAATCTGTGCTATGTTGCCACTAGTGATGCATGGTGACACCAGCCACCATTTTATGTTTCTGTCATATAAGATAACACATTATAATGTAAGGTAAATAAAGTAAAATACATAATAGAAAAAAGTCAGCAAGCTAACATCAAGAGTAAATGCCAAGCCATTTTGACAAAATATCTCTAAGAACCTCAAGATATTAAGGCTGTTTCTAGTTCTCTATGTTCATTAAGGATGAAGAAGCTGAATTTTGTGATGTTATCATGTTTAGGGTCAGCACAAGTTAGAAACATTTTAAAGACCATATCAAAAACCTAATCATGTGAAAGCAGGGTCACGTAATATATATTTGATTGTCAGTCCAAGTACCAATGCCTATGATGTTGGGCTCAATATCTACTATTTTGAAACTTAGCTCCCTAAGCTGTATATGAAAATGACAGTTGTGTTTTCCACTCAAGTTTATCATAAGTCTGAAAGTGATAACACTGTAACCAGCATCCTGAAACAAGGACAGAGTCTCTAGGAGATCATTGCCTATACTACCAAGTGGGTCTAGTATTCATTTTAACTAAAAGCTAATGCAACCTTGGTAGGAACTAGTTCAGAATATGGGCAAAAATGGCCAGACAATCACTGGGTCATACAAATTGTCCTGGCCCCTTCTCCTTTGACAGAATATTAAGTTCTTGTCTCACATTTAGGAAGAGCTGGCTTTGCTAAGCCTCTAGCTGTCATTTATGTCCTGACTCCATTTTGTCTAATTAACATCAACACCCATCCATAATTACTATAGGCAGTGGGGTTCACCTGCAAGACTACTCTTAATCATAGATGGGGTGTAGCGAAGGCAGCTTTTACTGGGCCTGGACCAGTCCTATGAGCCAAGGACAACCACAGGAAAGCGGAAATGTGCACATGAGCAACTGAGCTACAACAGTTAAGGAAATTTTAGTTCAACAACTATTGGTCCCTCCAAAGGAAACATATCAACCACCACCGTAGAGGGAATTTAGGACAATTTGCTCTCAAGGGGTTCAATTATTTCTAAATATATTTCCGAATAAATGAGACTTTCTTAAACCATTTGTCACCATAGCAACTATGCTGGCAGGGTTGTTGGGGGAGCTTCAGCTTCTACCAACTGTGAAATGTGCTTGCTACTTACAGATCTTCAGGAAAAAAAGGTGCTATATTGAATAAGGAAATAATGGATTTATGAAGGCCACAGGAAATTAATAACAGAATCATGAGGAAGTCTGCGAAGATGTACAACTTCACTCTGAGTTAAATTCTAATTAACAAAAATAATCTGTTGGATAATATTTAGATATACTGTTTGCTTGGCTGTTTCATAAGTGAAATATAAATGTTCTCTAGTCATTCAATTACATATGCCTGATGCCTCAGGGGCTGTGATATGGAGATGAATGGGGTAGCCAGGGGTGCTAACCTTGGCTCTGATGCCAATTAGCACTCTTCTCGGGGAACATTCAATGTCTTCCCTTCCTATGTGTTGAACGGGTATTGTGTTCTAGAATTCACTGAACTAAGTGAGGTTAGTACCATGCATGGATGTTAATAGTTTTCCTTGTATACATGGTTGCAATTGATGTGTTCATTTTTTAATATGCTAGGAATTGAGTCAGGCAGCTTGACTCACAGGGTATATGCATACAAAATATCTGACTGCATACTTACTTTGCAAAGACTTATTCATACCAAACAGAAAGGCTGACCAATGAGAGGCACTCATGAAGGAGGCTGAGCAACATTTACTCAGTAAACTGGACACATGGGCACTTCCCATAGAGCCTCCTTTAATTATTATGACTCTGTAGATTAGAATTAGAATCTCCATGTTGGAGTTAAAGAGAAGGTTGGGGATGGAGAGATGGATCAGGGGTTAAGAGCACTGAGTGCTCTTTCAGGGGAGCCAGGTTCAATTCCCAGCATCCATATGGCAGCTCACAACTGTCTGTAACTCCAGTTCCAGGTGACCCAACACCTTCACACAATGTATGTGTAGGCTAAACACCAGTAAACATCAAATAAATAAATAAATAAATGAAATCTTTAGGGAGATGTAAAGGGAAGCTTTTTTCTTGAGAGAAGCCTTCCCGCCAGCCTGGTTCTAGAGCCGCATCAGTCCCCAATAAACACACAGGAGGCTATGTTAATTATGAAGCTGTTGGCCTTGCTTGTTTCTTACTGGCTAGCTCTGACTTAAGTAATTACCCCATAATTGTTAATCTAAGTATGTCTCTTACCGGAGAAGTTTCCGGGCTTCCTACCCCATGGCGTTACATCTCGACTCTCTTGTGTTTCTCCTTCCCAGAGTCCTCCTGGACTCCTAGTCCCACCTATCTAGATTCCTATTGGCCAGCAGTGCTTTATTGACAAATAACAGGACTTTCCCAACAGGGAGAGAGAGAGAGAGAGAGAGAGAGAGAGAGAGAGAGAGAGAGAGAGAGAGAGAGAGAGAGAGAGAGAGAAGATCAAATTGAATCCAGCTGCTCCATAGCCCATTCCCAGCATGCAATGAACTGGGCTCTGATCCACAACTTGATCACAGCCAGGCTGTGCTCTTTTTTCTTTCTCTTTCTTCTTTCTCCTTCTTTCTTTCTTTCTTTCTTTCTTTTCTTTCCTTTCTTTCTCTTTTATTTAACATAATTTCTTTATTGAATCTTTGCAAATTCCATATCATGCACCCTAATTCTTATCACCTCTCAGTCCCTCCATATCCCCCTGCAGTGCCCCCCAAGAAAATTTTAATAAATCAAACAAATCCTAAACAAACCAAGCACAAACAAAAACAAAACCCAGTAGCAGCAACAAAAACCTCTTCACTCCTTCATCTTTCCCATCACTCCAACACCTCTTCATTTTCCTGGTGGCTTTGGGAGTCACAGCATGTCACACAGTATACACTTTTGTCTAATCAGCTTTATTTGCAAGTGTTCATTGAATTGAGTCACTGGTCTGGTTCAAGTCCTCTGGTTTCTGGCACACTGTCATCACTGGATCCTCACCAGAACTCCTCTCAGATATCCTGCAGCACTTTCAAGTCATGGAGATTCTGTGTGTACCATTTCACAGGATCAGTCCCTATAGGGTCTCCAGAAAAACCTAGATGGAGTAAATGTTAGGGTGGGCCAACCCCAGGCCCAACTGTGGGCCTGGGATAGAGTTGAGCTGGCTAGTCCAGAACAATGAGGGATGGAGCTAGCCCATGCCACCAGGGTCAGTTTTCTCTTGGTGAGGGGTAGGGCATCTCTCCTGAGTGTGTGTGGGCCAGTTCTCCCACAAGAATCATGGCCAGCTCTCTTGCTTCAGTGTCTAGTGAGGGGCAGGGCCAGCTATCCCAGAGACAGAGAAGTGTGGAGCTGGTTCAGTGACCCTCTGATTTAATCACACACAGTTCCTATGGCTCCCTGAGGGACACAGGCCACAGGCATGAACACAGACCACAGCTGCAGCAGGACCATAGACCCAGACATAGATCCTCACCAGCAGCTTAGATCCAGATGACATCTTGGCTCTGAGTGGCAGCATAGGTCACTAAGATATAAGTGTCTCTGGCTGCAGCTTGATTCTCAGATACCAAAAAAGGCACAGGTTGTGGCCCAGACCGAGGGTTAGGCTTCTGTGTAATCTTTGGTGTCAACATAGACACAGCTGCTGCAGGATCAAGGACACAGACATAGTCCATGGCAGCAGCAGGGTGTTAATACCACCATTGCCCCGGATGGCAGTGCAGGCCTCTCAGATCTGCAAGGCCCCCAGCATGTTCCCAGATCTTGGGCAGTCACATGGCCTTCTATGGTAATAGGAACCACAGACATCAACACAGATCCTGGCTAGAGTATGGCCAGAGACCCAAACATAGCCCTCAACTACAGCTCTGGCTGGGTCATCACCATGGCAATGGGTAGCAGTACAGGCCACTCAGATCTGTAGAGCCCTGGCTGCAGCATGGCCCTTGGCCACTAACAGCGACAGATGACAGACCTAATTCCAGGCAACCACAGGGCCCTTGGTGGCAACATGAGCCACGAACTTCTACATAGACTCCTGCTGTGGTAGAGCCATGGATGCAGGCATGGCTCTAGGCTGCTGCCTTTCTAAATCAGATTCAAAAGTATGATACAGTGGGAAAAGGCATGGTCAGAGGATCAAGGCTGGACCTGCAAGACTGTCACCTGCCAGCTGTCTATCCTCAGTTCTGTCCTGCTCTGGGTCTTCAATACCCTTACTTGAAAGAACTCATTCACAGGCAGTGACCTAATTTGGAAGCAGTGAGACATTAGAAAGGAAGCAGATGAGAAAGGTAGAGTTGGAGTGGGGGAAGTTTCAAATTTGTTATCACCATAGGTGCCTACTGGTGGGACACGGGGAGGTAGCTTCCTGTGCAAGGACAACATCTGTCCCTTGAAGACAGACAAACTGGGGTAGTACAGACTTCAAATGCATCCATTCAATATCTGCACCTGGAAACAGAAGTCAGAAATTGGGTTAAACCAGAAGAAAATTTTCTTGGGAGCTGAGGCAAGAGTTACTTAGAACTTGGCAGGGTATGTGACCATGTGCCTCCCTCTGCAGGTGAGTTACTATCCGCAAAACTCAGTGTTCACCCCTGAAGGGGGCAGAATTTACTGTAAAAGTAAACTTTGCTCAAAGACTACTGTCACTTTATGGGGTGTGTTTCTTTTACAAATTATCACATACCACATTGACAGTGAAATCATATTTTCACTGAAATCACAGGACTCTCTTACATGCTTATCTACAGTGTCAAAAGTAGCTTCAGAGAAACAAAGAAGACAGACACAACCATCATATGTCTCCTGGTAGTTTCTCATCTAGGCTCCGGAATTCCATCAAACACAATGAGACCTCTACTCCATGACTAGACGAGCAGACATCAGCATCATATTCCTTTGACCATGAGTACAAGGATAGATCTCTGCTTTAAGAAGGGTTTTAGTGGAAAAATATAGACCTATCATGAGCTAGGGGGAGGCCGGATCCCGATTGCTTTGTTACCAGTAGTGTAACTCTAATAAATAACTTAATAACTCTGACGATCAATTTCTGCCTCTTCCTCTGGCCTTAGGTGTGGAAATTTTAACAGTTGCTGGTTTCTGATAAACAAATGTGGAGTTAAAGGAAAAGATAAAACAAGTACTCAGAAATAAGAAACATGGAAAGAAGCAGCATGATTCACAGCCAGATGAAACTCCAAGGCCAAATACTAATGGTGCTAGGAGGTTGGGTTTCCAGATAGGCAGCAGTTGCAGATGGGTGGGAATGAGATGAGGCAACATAGGACTGGCAAGCCTGGTATTATGACTATGCTTAGTGGCCAACAGATGGCAGAGAAGGAAAAGCAAGAAGTCCTCAGACTAGGTAAAAATAAGAACATTTAAAACACATTCCCCTAGAGCCTCCATCTTTCCTGTAGTACATTGTCCCCTGCAATTAATATGTCCAGGTCAGGTAACATGGGAGCCAGACTGTAACAAGATTCTTCCTGCCAGCCTGGTCCCAGAGTCACGTCAGTTCCAAATGAACATGCAGGACGCTATATTAATTGTGAATCTGTTGGCCATTTTCTATGATTTCTTGTTGGCTAGCTCTGACTTAATTATTAACCCCTAACTGCTAATCTGAGTATTTCCATGTGGTATTCTCTTACCGGAGGAGACAGGGTCCAGACCTCTTACTTCTTTCACATCCTACATGGTGACTGACTGTGCCTCTGTTTCCCAGAATCCTCCTCAACTCCTAGTGCCACATATCTTGCTTCTCTATTGACCAACAGTGCTTTATTTATCAACCAATAAGACAAACATATACACACAGGGCATTCTGTCATCACCGGGCAGTCTATAACATGAAACTAATGGTCCACCACCTGCACATGCCAGAAAGGAGTCTGTTGCTTCTTCCCTAAGAGCTGAACTTTACGTAGCATGGGCAATAATCACTCACCTAAACTATTGCCAAACACAATCATAGTCTTTTTGTTTGTTTTGCTGGTTTTTGTAGTTGTTGTTTGTTTGTTTGTTTGTTGTTTGAAACAGGGTTTCTCTATGTATCTCTATCTGTCTTGGAAAGACCTCTGTAGACCAGCCTGGCCTAAAACTCACAGAGATTCACCTGCTTCTGTCTTGGGGGTGCTGGCATTAAAGGCACCAGCTACTTGCCAGATAAAATCACATTTTTAAAAGATGTGTGTTAATTTGTGTTTCTATTGTTGGTTTCTGAAATAATTCTAATTTTACAGAAACGCTACAAGTTTAATAAAATTATTCTCAAGCCTTTGAGCCAGATGTAGTGGCAAGAGGTAAGAACACATAGAGAAGCTACATGTGCCTTGATTAACACATGCTCACTGCTTTTTAATGTTCCGTTACAGTCTTAACGCTACTCCCTGTGATGGTAAATTCTGATTATCATCCTGATGGATTTTTAAAGGTTCCCAGGAGAGTATTAGAGCTCACATCTGGGTGCATTGGTGAGAGAGTGTTGACAGGGTTTCACTAAGGAGGGAAGACCTACCTGAGTGTGGATGACACCTTTGCTAGTCCAAGCACCCAGGTGGAAGAAATCAGGAAAGAACAACAGAACAGCTAGTGTCAGCATTTTCCTCTCTGCCTCCTGGACTACAGGGCATAAGCAGGTCTGTTCCAACATTGCCCTCTCAATGATGAACTGAAACCAGGAACCAAATAAAACTTTCTTAAGTAGTTCTCAATTTTGGCAATATGAATGTACGACTGGTATTTTGCTTATAATTTTGCAGGGAAGAATGTGTGTGTGTGTGTGTGTGTGTGTGTGTGTGTGTGTGTGTGTGATAGAGAGAGAACATAATTTTTATATAATATTTTTGTACAAAATTTGAAAGTTATAGGCAGACATCAAATCCTTCAGTCTTGAATTTCATACTTCATCATAGATAGTGATCAGAGCATTGGATGTGTAATGGAATCATCTGGAAGACTTCCGAAATTTTGTTGTCTGGTTCCCATGTCCAAACATTCTAGTGTATTCTCTCTGAAGGGCTCTTCATGTGACGTTTAGTTTGAGAATCACGCTGCCTTAGGTATTTGATTCTCAGGGCCACTCAGGTGTTTCCTATGCTCTCCAGTGAATCTCCATGTGTAGCTGGGGCTGAGAATCACAGTGGAGCATCTGAAAGACTGGGACTCACATTTGACTGAAAGGGCAAGTTGGAGCTGCTCTGACTTCCTCAGTACACTGACAAGTATATAGCAGCCTAAGCCTAGCTTGCTGTTGGCTCCACACCCAATGAAACAGAACCCATATAGTTTATACCTAGATTACCCTGAAGGTAAGTAACTGGAGGGGGTCTTTTCCTTCTATTGGCCCCGGGAGCCACAGAGAAAATTGAACAGGTTACATTCAGGTTGCTCTGCCCTGTGTACATATCATCTACATGACAGACAAGCTATGGAGTAGCAACACTCTTTAGGATCTTGGGCATCACCAGGGACCTTCTGCATCATCACGTGGATTGTGACAAAACTTCATGTTCTTTAAATGCACCTGGAAGTGTGCCCAGCCCATGTCATGGTGTAGAGATATGCGATCTGTTAAATTTTAGACTGTGGACCATACATTCCCTGCTACAGCTACTCATTAGTCTTTTTAGCACAAGAGCCACATAGAAGGCAGGGATGAGTGACCTTGGATGTGTTTGTATTAGGTAGCAGGTCAGATGTGGCTGATGGGCCATAGCTTGTGGGCCTTCGTGCTAATGTGACAAGTAGAATGGAGAGAAAATGATACAGGTTCACATATCCTGGCTGGAGCACTTTCTGTTTTGTGACTTTGCACAAATTACTTGAGACCTTTATGCCTCACAAGTAAGACTAAAGAAAACTCTCCCACAGGTTGAAGTGACTTCAGAAAGTGGGATGCCAGCCTAAAGTGGGGAAGGCATTGAAAGGGTCATCCTCCTCCTCTCTTCCCTCCAACATCCTTTGGGGACAAGATCAATGAATGCCCTAGGGCACTGCAACAGAGACAGACCAAACAAGTTGCATTTCAAACAGCGGTTTCAGTTTCACTTTGGTCAAACTGCAGTGAAGACCCTCCCCAACTACTTAGTTAAATGATGGTAGTGTGTAGGTAACTATGGAAACCCAGGCTCAAGGCAGGAGAAGTCTATCAGCTTTGTTCTTGACCTGCATCCATGCCCTGTCCTCTTCTCTACAGCTCATCCCTTCTGCTAGGTGGAAGGTACCTGTGCCATAAGTCTCTTTTTCTAAGCTCAGGTCTGACTCAAACTTCCCTAAGGGTGAGAAGAAACTAGCAAGTGAAATGGTTTTGCTTACGATTTTGCAGTTTAGGCTAGAGAAAGAGGTAGTTCTAGTTAAAAGAGGAGATTTGCAAATACTTTTAACATGATTGTTCAACAGCTGAGACTGTTAAATAGGTCTTACACTGAGCATGGTCTGCTGGGCATGGTGACAGCAGTTAGGGAGGAGACTGAGGTGCCACTGACACAGGTACCTACTCAGAACTAATTATAGAAGCGGGCCTGTGCAGAGACTGATCGACACTTCTGCTAAGCAGCTTGGAAGTCAGCAAGAAAATATAATTATCTTATTTGTCGTGAAAGTGGTAACAGAAAGCTGATGGATGAACACATATGGAGAGCTACAAAAATACAGCCTAGCCAGGAGAATGAGATGCGGAGACATTGTCCTAGCGGTTCACTCTCATTGCTGTGGCTTGAATAGTTTTGTCTCTCTTCTGTCTCCTCCAGGCTTCATATGTATGGAGCCTGGCCCCTTTTAAAAATGATGAATTATTAGGAAACAGGGCTTAATGGGAGGTCCTTAGCTTAACTACACGCATACCTTTAACAGGACAATCTTAGGGTTTCTACTGCTGTGATAAAAACCATGACCAAAAGAAATTTAGGGTTTATTTCATCGTACATTTCCAGGTAATAGTTCATCACTAAGTGAAGTCAAGGCAGGAACTTGGAGGCAGGACCTGAAGCAGAAGCCATGGAGGAGCGCTGTTTAATGGCCTACTGGGTTTGCTTTCCTAGGTCCATTTCCCCAGGAGAGGCACCATCCAAAGTTAGTTGAACCCTCCCACATCAATTGTTAAACAAGAACACACTCTAGAGGCTTGCTCACAGGCACTTTGATGGAGGCATTTTCTCAGTTGAGGTTCCTCTCCAGATGATTCTAGTTTGTGTCAGGTTTCAATAGGAGCAAGCAGCCCAGGGATAAAGATGTTTCTTGGGAAGCCCTGCTAGTTCTTATTAAACAATTAATGGAAAAACTTGAACCTGTCCCTACCCATTGCCTCTCTCTGGCTTCATGTATGTGAACACCTGCTAACGCCATTGCCATGCAGCTGAGAAGACCTGAAATGAGCCAGTGTCAATACTATGCCCCTAGACTTCCGACACCAAATTAAATAAAATTCTATTCTTCATAGACAGCCTATATGTGCATATATAAGTATCTCCCGATAGTGGCAATTTTTGCAAAAGTAGCTTACAGTTCTTATGGGACTATACTAGTGTAAAAAGTCCTGGCAATTTCACTGAAATAAAACTTTAACTGTCTTTATTACACTCCAATCGCTAACTCATTTCTATTAAAGTGACCAAGAAAATGTAATGTAGATTCTATAGTCTTGTAAAGGGCAATAGTCCAGTTTTGGAACATGTGAGACCTAAGTAGTTGAGGTAAGGGGACAATGAACACATTTTATTGTTTATGAAGCAACAATGAACGTGGGGAATTAGTGGTATAAATTACAGCAGAATTTTTAGCTAAAGGGAGTACATAATAGAGGCAGGAGTTTAAAAACTGCCCTTGGATAGTTTCTATGTCAACTTAACACAGGCTAGACTCATTAATTGAGATAATGCCCCAGCCAGGTTCACCTTAGGGAATGCCTGCGGGGAATTTTCTTCATTAAAGTGGGAGGGTCATTCCATTGTGAGTGGTGTCAACACTGGAGAGGTGGCATGGGGATGTTTTAAAAAGCAGGCTGAACAAGGCATGAATGAGGAGCAAGGCAGCAAGCAGTATCCCTCCATGGCCTCTGCTTTGGTTCCTGCCTCAGTTTCCTGCCCTGACACACTGTGAGACAATTTCCCCAAGTTGCTTTTAATCATGGTGTTTTATCACAATACAAACTCTAAGTAGGCCACCTTGATTCAGGAAATGTACCGGAGTTGATGGTTCTCAGTTCCACACAAAAGTAAGACTTGGGCTTGGTTTATATGCTTTCCTGTCATATAAAACAGAAACAATAGGGCAGCAGGTCTCTGTCAGCTGTCGTTAGGGTCCATGCAAGACAGAGTGGTATAGCTGTGACATTTCCTTTATATTCCTCTACTTGAAAATAAAACAGATCAACTCAGTAGTTCAGCATCTCAAAGGAAAAGAAATAGAGTTAAGGAATTGGACAAATGTCTGCCTTTGTAATGAAAGTGTTCAGTGAGATTCCAGAAGTTACCAAATGCTTTTAGAAGTTACTACTCAGCCATAGGAAAACACATTCAGATAATAAACGTGACTGCAAATTAAAAAAATAAAAGCAGTATTCAAGCCATGATTAGGAAGTTGGATAGTGAAAAGTGCTGAGAAGCTGATAAAATCTGAACCAAAAGTTTTGTACCAGCACTTAGAGGAAAGTAGATGAAGAATACAGTCATAAATAAAATGACAACAGAAGGAAAATGATCCTGGAGACACTACATGCAAGATCAATGGATAGCAGGGGGAGAGTGCTGAACACAGGGAAAAACAAAGCAAAAAGGGCTTCAGTAAGCATTGTCTCTGTCGAAGAGAATTTTGAATTTTTTTCCAGGAAAATGAAATTTCAACAGGTCAGATGCCAGATGATAACAATAACAAATCCTGTCCAGCAGAAAATGATTACCTAGAGAGGGGGAAAACAAACAAACAAAACAACTTTCTTAGACTTGAATCTTTGTTCTTTAATACACTGAATACAAATGAAATTACCGTTTCTCTAAGATTTCAGAAGAAACGCCACCACACATCTTGAGGAGAAAAAATTCTGTACTGAGATGAACGAAACTGTAATATATTCATATAATCACTGGGATATTTTCTGAGCCAGTTGGATGGCTCAGGGGGAAAGTTACATGCTGAAATTCTGATAACCTAAGCTTGATCCCCAGAACCTACACTATCAAAGCAGAGAACCAATTCTGACAAGTTGTCCTTTGAACTCCAACACATGCCTGGACATACAAATAAACACACACACACACACACACACACACACACACACACACACACATTCATTTTCCTTGAACATGCTTCCTTTTAGAATAGAGTCTATAACCTAATTTTGAAATAGTGTTAATAATTAATGTGATTATTAGTAAAGGCAGTTTGGACTTAAAATTCCCAATTATCCTAACTAAAACTACTGAGAAGTGAAAGAAGCTAAGCATGGTGGTATATGACATTCATTCAAGCATTTGGGAGTCAGAGGCAGATGGATTTCTATTATTTCAAGGCCAGCCTGGTATATATAGCAAGTTCCAGGGCCAGGACTCTAGAGCCTTGAAAGAAGAAAAAGTAAAAAGATAACATATACACACATCCTTCATTTACAGCTGGCATTTATACTAGACAACAGTGGTGCTGTATTACATAGGGTTTTCTAGAGTAATAGAACAGGTGTGTGTGTGTGTGTGTGTGTGTGCATTATTATGAAGGAAATTCAGTAGAACAGCTTACAACCAGTAGAGGCTACATATTCAATAATGGCTGTCTACTAGCTAGAGAGGCTGAGAATCTGGCAGCATTGATTAGGAAGCAGAACCCTTCAGTAGTATTAATCTTGTGCTAAAGGCCTGAAAGACTTTCAGAGAATGATTGACAGTTTGTCTTCTTGGAACTTGAAGAGGTTAGATTCTGGATTCTGATACTAGTGTCTAGACAGATTTACTCAACAAGAAGGGAAGGCAGGCCGGCAAGCTGCTTTGTTTTTTCTCTAACTCCTTATGTCTGAATTGACCGAAGATGCTGTCTACTCTTGACATAGGTTGTTCCCCATCAGGTAACCCTTCCTGCAAAGAATCTCACAGACCTGCCCATATTCTTATTTTGGTTGATTCCAGATCTGGTTAAACATAACAAGTGTGATTGTCAATTACAAAAGAGGGATAAAGGGACTTTATGGTCTTGGTTTCCTTGTGACTTGATAGACAGACATATAAAAATACTAATTCTATGATATCCTGTAGAGGGAAGTCTTTTCCTTGTCAGCCGCTTTGGTTTTTTCCCCACCAGTTGCCTGGGCTCTGCCGCGTTGTAGTCCCCAAATAACACACAAGATGCTGTATTAATTATGAAGCTGTTGGCCTTGCTTGTTTCTTACTGGCTAGCTCTGACTTAAGTATTTAACCCATCTAAGTATTTCTCTTACAGGACGGACATCTTACTTCTCTGGCGGGCTACATGATGACTCCCTGTGTTTCTCCTACCCAGAGTCCTCCTGGACTCCTAGTCCCACCTATCTTGCTTCCCTATTGGCCAACAGTGCTTTATTGACATATACACAGGACTTCCGCATCAATATCCTTTTTTAAAAATAAAATTGTATTCAGGTTATAAATAATCTCATTTTACATATCAATCCCAGTTCCCTCTCCCTCCTATCCTCCCATGCCCCTCACCAACCCTGCATCCCATCCCCCATCCACTCCTCAGGGAGGGTGAAGTCTTCTATGGAGGATTATCAAAGTCTGTCACATCATTTGGGGGAGGGCCTAGGCCCTCTTTCTTGTATCTGGGCTGCAATAGTATCACTCCATGGGAAATGGGTTCCCAAAGTCCATTTGTGCACTAGGGACAAATACTGTTTCCTCTGTCAGAGGCCCCATAGACTACCCAGGCCTTGTTACTGGCACCTACATTGAGAGGGCATGGTTCAGTCCAATGCTGGCTTCCCAGCTTTACAACTGCAAGCTCTCTCTTCCCCAGGTCAGCAGTTTCTGTGGGTTACCCCAGCATGGTCTTGAGTCCTTTGCTCATCACTCCTTCCTCTCTACAACAGGATTATTCCAGGAGTTTGGCTCAGGGCTTAGCTATGGGTCTCCATTTCTGTTAACATTAGCTACTGGATGAAGGCTCTAGGATAGCATTTAAGGTAGTCATCAATCTCTTTATAGGGGAAGAGTATTTAAAGTAGTGGAAGCCATTATAGGTTTAAAGAGAAATCTGGAACTAGGAAATGTCCAAAGATCCACAAGGATGACCCCAGCTATGAATCTAAGCAATAGTGGGGAGGTTACTTTAATTCTATGATATCTAATAAATACATTTTTAACAGACTAGCAATAAAAACCTTTAGGATAAGATAAATGCTGGAAATTAGGAGATTAAAGACTTACAAGAACTAAAATAAAAAGGGAGAATATTAAAGTAAGCAGTATTTGGGGAAAATTAGAGCAGCCTTCAGTAGAAAATAAAAGTAGGATGGTTTCACTCTGTCTGATGTTTCTCCTAGGCCTCGTCCTCCAGCCAGCTGTCCTTGTTATATAACACAGGAGAGCCTAAACGCTCTACTGCAGGGATGGAGATAAATGACTCTGCCCTCAGCTGTCTTCTTCCTGTCAACACTGGTTTTCTAGCTCATCTCCTACCAGTCCCAAGGCTTCAGAACCTTTTAATAGCCTATGATTTTCATGTTTTATCTCTAGCCACAATGTTTTCCTGAATCCTTAACTTGTACATTCATCTACTAACATCCACAGGCTACTTGCCTCTGGATGGCTCACAGGCATCCTAAGCTGATGTGGACAAAACCCACACTCCCTTTGAGTTTGGTCAAATACCTCAGCACCTCACAGCAACCTATACTCTTGAAAGCAGAGAATCAAAGCCCAGAATGTTCTATGAGTCATAAGTTTGTGAGATGGAGAGAGAGAGAATCAAGGTACAGCAGAGACCCAGAGACACAAATTGTCAGGCAGTTCAAGCCCTCACTCACAAGCTGATGAATGCCCTTCATCTCTTAATCTCCTTGAGTTTTCTCCCTCACCCCACTATTGTGATATGAATGAGAAATGTTCCCACAGGCTCATGTGTTTGAGCACTTGGTCTCCAGAGGGTGGTGCTGTTTAAGGAGATTATGGAACTTTGGGGTATGGAGCCCTGCAGGAGGGTTTACAGCACTGGAGGTGAAGTTTATAGCCTTCTCCCACTACTGCTTCTTAGTCTCCACTTACTTTGTGCAGTTGAGGTGTGATTTCTCAGCTTCCTGCTCCTTATACCATGCCTGCCTTCCTCGCCATTTTGGATTTCTAGCCCTTTGGAAGAATAAGTCAAAATAAGTCATTTCTTCTATAAGAGTCTCTGGCTATGGCATTTTATCACAGACATAAAAAGTCACTGATGTAACCAGGTGTCCCATACTACTGCTCTGTTTTTGCTCCTTTCATGATCATGTAAGAACCCAAGTCACCTTCATCTTGGAAAAGATTGAGAAGACCAAGTGATGACTTTTGTCAAGATAGATACCTATCACATCTACTGTCAGAACAAACTGCAGTTAGGGAGAAATATAGCTTTAAACCTGCTATTTTAAACGAAAGTTTTTAGGTTAAAAACTTACTTAGATGAACTCCATTAGCAGCTAAAATATGTAAAATGTGGTTGACTGTAGTTTATTTCATAAGCTAATTTAGACTTTTGCGTTCTAGAAATCAATATGATAAGCAACATAATTCTTAGATTCTATCCCAATAACTGAGATTTGAGGCTAGAAAAGAACAAAGTAAAAAGAAACACTGCTACACACACCCTGCTTTTATTTATAGAGGACTTTTCAGGAGTACAACATGTCAGAAGTGAGATCAAATCCATAAATCCAGGTGTCTTCAACCCTCAAACCAAGAGCTCTCTAATAATAGTAATATTGCTTTTTCTAAATGTCTGCTGAGCTGGGCATACTGGTGCACATCTTTATTTCCCAACACTCCAGATGCAGAAGTGGGCTAATCCTTGTGAGTTCAAGGCCAGTCTACATAGAGAGTTCTGGGTCAGCCAGAGCTACACAGTAAAACCTTGTCTCAAAGAATATTTTGTTGCAAAATACTAGACTACAATTTTTCACCCATACATAAGATAAATGGTTAAACAATACCCAATGTGCTTTCAAAATCAATGTATATACTGTTCAATTGCATATTTCTGGTAATATCCATATTTATCAAATTCATATTTTAAATTGTTCAGCAGTTTGTCATGTTTCTCCCCAAAAATAGGCAAATATTTACACAGTAGAGAAACACAATTTCCCTTTTAGAAGCAGGTTACTATAGTTTGGAACCCAAATATTTCCTCCAAACCCATACATTTGAGATATGGTTCCCAGAATCGTGATATCAGGAAATTATGAGATTTAAAACAGGCTGGGCCAAATAGGAGCTTTTCATGTCACTGGGAGCCTTGTTTTGATGGAGACACAGGTCCTTTCTTTGTTTCTCATGTTTCCTGGTCATAAAGTGAAGTGATTTTCATGCTATGAAATTTGTCCCCCTCTTCTTTTACACAAGTCCAAATCCATGGTGTCATTTGACCTTATTCTGAATCTTCTAGAACTGTGAGGCAAAATTGCCTTTTTTTGTTTTATAAGTCAGCTGTTTTGGGTATTTGTTACAGTGTTAGAAATTATTTCAATAGTCTGGGGAACATCTTTTCACAATTATAAGTTAAATTCTGTACTACTTACTTAAGAATAAAAAGTTATCCCCCAATGTGAGCATCAAATTGATCCCTCTGTTTGGAAAACATTTAAATATCCATTTAACCTTTAAACATCATATTAACTGATGTAGCTCAGAATTCTGCACCCTTACCATCTGCATCCTTGCTGTAAAGTCCCATAAACAGGAATTTAGATAATTATAATCAAATTAAAAACAAAGTTGCAATAAATTATTAATAAATGCAATCCTATATAAAATGTATGTTTCATCACAAAAAACATACAGTTGGATATGACGGGTTTGTTAAGAATGACACTTTCCTCTACGATTCCTCCTAAACATAGACTTCATGTCTAATCTGAGAAAACTTTAATGATCTTTGTTTCAGAAATTGTAGAAAACATTTGATTAATATTCCTCCAAATATCAAATAGCAAAAACAAGGGAAAACGAATGTCCCAGTTTGCTTCTTTGTTTCTATGATAAACATCATGACCAAAAGCACCTTGGGGAGGAATAGGTTTATTTGGCTTACAGGCTCTATTCAGTCCATCATCCAAGAAAGCCAAGGTAGGAACCAAAGCAGAATCCACAGAGGAACACTTCTTACTGGCTTGCTCCAGGCTCACAGTCAGCTGTCAGTATATCCTTGGCTCATCAGCCTATGGATGGTAATGCCCACAGTGGGCTGAGCCTTCTACATTAAAATGTAGTCAAGGAAATGCTCTCACAGATGTGCCTGCAGGCTAATATGATGTGTCAAGCTGACAGCCAACATTAATAATCACACCAAGGGGGAGTCTGTGCAATTCTCACTTCCAAGAAATCCCTGACAAGACATGAATACGAAGGTATCAGTAGGTGGATTCTAGAGGAAAGTAATTACGTCATGGGAGAAGACCCTTGAGAGGAGGGTACAGCTGAAAGAAAGCCATCCACATACCAGAAGGAAAACTCCTGCCACACTTTCACCACACTGTGAGGAACTTCCAGAAACATAAGAAATAATGTTTGCATTTTCAGCCTGTGATATTCTGCTACAGCAGCCTAGAATGACTACATACTGTCTGTATCACCTGCACACTTTTTGTGACACTGCTGCAAAAATATTAAAATCTATCAAAATTTTTTCCAAGTATCAGCAAGTGGTAGGAAAAGTATTTCAAAGAGCAGATGTTCTATGTAAGATTCATTTATGTAACTGGTCTCAGTTTGCTCAACTGGCCCCCAATGCACAGACTCCTCACTCTGGGGTGCTGGGTTAATACAGGTATTTGACTTTATTTGTTTTCTAATCATATTCACGAAAGCTTCTTCCATCTCTCATGTGGTCACTGTAATGATAAAAATGCATGTACTCTGACAGAACATTCAGTAGAGAGGAACTGCGATTTTGGTTATTATTTAGCAAACCTTGGGAAAATTTCGTAGGGAATAGAGAGATTTGAAAAGACAAAAGGAAATCAGTGTTTTTGTGTGATAACTGGCATACACATACACACACTCCCTCATCTCTGAACAGTAGCTGTCTCATTTGAAATTCACTGCAGTTACAGAGAGGCCTTCTCACAGGGAAGTCCTATTCCATGACAGACAGTGGAAGACTAGTTAATGATTCATTATTGTAACTCCTTAGTTTTCTCTTGAGACAGACAATATAACATTACTTGGTGTAAAGAAACAAAGAAAATTAATAATAAATAAATACAGACCATTCAAAGTAAGTGGAGAGAGAAAAGACAATGTGAATTTCTGGGCATAAGTAATGACAGGGTGGCTCTTAAGAGCAGAATATGATGTGTGGGTAGATAATACTTCTTACAAAATGGATTAGTTTGCTTCATGAGGATCCTTGCTGTTATTGAAGTAGTACATAGGGACAGTGAGACTTGGAGAACTTTAAAACACATTGAAATCGTATTTATTTATTTGTTTATTTATTGGGGTGGGGAAAGGCACGCAGAAACTAAAGGACAACTTCCAGCCTTCAGGGATTGGTTCCCTCCTTGGACCATGTGGCCCCAGACATTGAACTGAGATGATCAGGGCAATGCAAGCGCCTTTACCCACAGAGCCATCTTGGTAGCTCCTGAATACATTTTAAAGACACAATTTTTCCTAATTATATTGCACCAGAACTTGCAGTTATTTAAAACACATTCAATAATCAATTTTAAATGCCCTAACTGTGAAATTGGAACTATCATCCGTGATTATTTTTCAGATTTATTCGCGATTTGCCAGTCAGCCCTCATCCCTAGGCAGTCAGCATGTAACTACTTCCTACAAAGCCCTCGGCTTACATCAAGCCAGCTAAAGATTTGTTAGATCCTAACTACTGGTTCTCACATCTATAGACCACCCTGTGGGTGTCTGCTATGTTCTGGTGCCTGAGGCTTCTTGGGCCAGTTCCTTGGCTATGTGGACAGGTCCTGGATTTCAGAAACATGTTTAGCAGCTAGAGGGTCTGTGGTCGTCAACAGGTCAACGTGTAGAGCTTTGGAGTCAGGAATGGAGAGGCCAAGAGGAGACACAAGATCCTTACTAACTTTCTTTCTAATGTTTGATTGCTAAAACTTTACAGGAGATTTTGAAATGGGGCAGGTGATGCCTCTAGCTAAGCTATGTACTTTTTGCACAAGGTTGCTGTAGATACTGGGAAATGTTTTGGTTCCTTACAAATATTAGGATTGCTTCCTGTTTGTTGTTTATTTCTAATCAAAATGCTGTTGGAAATTTTATTGTCTATAGATAAATGTAGTGTCTATAGTTTTTCCAAATTACTTGTAAACTATGAGCAAAATACCTTTCCATTTCTTTATGTTTCTTCAGTTTCCTTTGACAATATTTGTGCTCGTCAGTGCTCTGTATCCTAATGGTCCATTCGCCTGTGAGTTCATTATCAGTTCACCATTTCTGGTGTTTCACACCTGTAATCCCAGCATTTAGGAAAACTAGCCATGGGACTAATGACCTTAAGGCTACACAGTGAAAGAGACTGTCTCAAAAACAGCAACCACATAAGAATACTATGATGGCTGATCTTGGTTGTCAACTTGACTCCCTCTGGAACTGATTAAAACTCAAGGTAATGTGAGGGATTTTCTTCATTGTATTATCTGAGGTGACAATACCCCACCAAGTTCAAAACGATCAAAATTCAGTTTGTGTGTCGGCATCAGAGTTAGGGTAGATGGCTAGTTTGTGCTGTACTTTGAACCATACCACCATTGACTATGTACTCTGAAAATGGAAAGCACAAATACAAGGAATTTTATCTTTATCCCTTACATCTTTTCTTTGGCAAGAAGGTGAATGTCAGTTGGATCAACACAAGAAAGCCAATTCCAATCCTTTGTAAAAGCCATGTGAATGGAGAAAATGAATGCTGTTGATGCGTGTGCGCTGTGTGCAAGCATTTGCTTGTGGAAAGAGATTTATTATATCATGTCAAGAATATGTTGATTCTATAAAGGAGGATCTGTGAGGAACAAAGAATCATATCTAACAAAAGTTTCTCTGATAGAATTAGAAAATATTTTATGTCGTAGCAATGCCAGGGACAATCTGGACATCAGGGTTAGCTTCATTGCTGGAAA